GTCTGCGCGAGGGAGTGGAGGATCTCTCCCCCCACCACCAATCATTTTTCTCCCCCCCCCAATCCCCAGTTCTACAGTCTTCCCCCCCCCCCCCCCCCCCCCCCCCCCCCCGCTGCCCCCAATGCCCGATGACAGTGCCAGTCCTATTGTGACAGGTTACAGTAGAATGCCTATTTGACACTTGCAGATCAACAGCTCTAGTTGGGTGAGGTCCCCCCACCTCAAAATGATTCCAACACTTTTTTTCCAATATAGGTTTATTTTCCACCCAAAGCTTAGAATTTATCCCAACCCCTACTATCAAGACCCAACACATATACTCAGGTCTTACGTAGAATTTTGGAATACTTGAAATACAAAGAATTTCAGGGTTAAAATAAGGAATTCTCCAAAAAACATCTTGCCCAATGAGTGACAAGAAGGAGAGACTTGCTACCAGGTGGAATGGTGAAGGCTTCTACCTGGTGAATAGTATAGCATATTTAAAGGTACAGGAGGGAGTTAAAAATTGCTGACCGAGTTCGATGAAGCAAGTGGGAAGCAGAGGGTGGTGTTAGAAGCTATATAAAAGTTAAAGGCTTTTGACCTGTAAAATACAGCAAACCAGAAACATCTTTATTAAAGTCATGGATCATAATTATGAATTAGTGCAGCCTAACAGTTCTGTTCACAAGTTAAAACTGTTAAGTATTTTCAGAATGAACTGGGTCAAAATCCTAGTGCTCCCTCCCGAACAGCATCTTGAGAGTACCACAGACTACAGCAGTTCAAGAAGACAGCTCACCGTTACCTTCTCAAGGGCAGCTAAAGATGGGCAATAAATGCCGGCCTGGCCAGTGATGCCCACATCCCATGACTGAATTTTAAAACATGTGGCAGGTTAATTGCTCACAAATAGTACAAGGAAACTAACCATGGCATTTTTGTCTGAAATGAGACAAAGATTTCACTCAGTATTATTCTACACCCTTTGTTGAGAATCTCTTCAGTCATGAGCAAAAGAAGAAGGCCTGACATCTTTGGAGACACTTTAATGTATGAAAATTGTTCTGGCAGCAAAGGCTAATAGGTCTGTGACACACATTAGTCATCTTTGAGAGCATGTACATGGCTCTTGATTCACATTTTCTCCCGAGGCCCAGCTGGTAGCCTCGACCTCTGTTGTTCAGAGCTCCAATTTTAGGAAGCATGACAAAGGCTGTGTTTTCCTTTCTTTCTTGTGCTTCACATATCTTCTCACGTGCTAGCCAAAACCAGACCTTGGAGAATGGTGCAGCCATTCTGCTAAAGCCCTGAGAAGCTTTCTATCTCTGGCTGTTTCAGGTCCACATTAAAATCAACACATGCAGAAAAGTTGAGCTCTCAAAATTTAAATCTATTAGTTTGCTTCTCTCAAATTGATGATACTAACAGTATTAAATGTCCTGGTTTGGTATTTATCCACCAAGAACCACCAGCAAGAAACAGATACAAAGTTAATAACCTTATCCTTTGCACTGCTGTGCTGGGCTCTTCCATCATTGAGGATGGGGATATTTGTGGAGCCTCCTCCTCTAGTGAGTTGTTTAATTGTCCACCACCATTTACGACTGGATGTGGCAGGACGGCAGAGCTTAGATCCGATCTGTTAGTTATGGGATCGCTTAGCTTTGCCTATCACTTGTTTGGCGTGCAAGTAGTCCTGTTTGATAGCTTCACCAGGTTGAAACCTCATCCTCAGGTATGCCTGGTGCTGCTCCTGGCATGCCCTCCTGCACTCTCCATTGATCCAGGGTTGTTCCCCTGGCTTGATTTTAATGGTTGAGTGGGGGATATGCCGGGCTGTGAGGTTACAGATTGTGCTGGAGTATAATTCTGCTGCTGTTGATGGCCCACCAATGCTGCCAGACCTGCTGAGTTTTGCCAGCAAGTTTTGGTTTTGTTTCTAATTTCCA